AGCCCTACCCCCAAGGGCTGTAGGGTGGGGCTCAAAGGAGTCAGTGTGCTAAAATTTCTTCATTTTCCTTGTTAAGAATCAGAGGTGCTAGTTTCAAATCTCTTTTTAGTCTGAAATCTGTATGCTAGATATTGAGTAAGGTGGTTTTATTGTTTTTTGTCACTTTGAATAATATTTCTGTTCATGTTAAAAACAAAATCAACTCTCTGTATGAATATATCAGGTGACTGTTAAGGCCCATGGGCCTCTTGTTAGCTCACCTGTGGCAGACGTGCTATGCTATACATTTTTAGCTCAACAGTGGCAGACGTGCTATGCTATACATTTTTAGCTCACCTGCCCCAAGGGCATGTCATGGTTATGATGCGGCATCCGTATTAATGCTGTTCAATGCATTGGTTGGAGTTGGTGAAACACATACGCGTTATAGTAGACATTACTCCCTTTTCTGTTTATTATACAGGTTGGGAGTGGCACGCTTACACGGTAGTGCATTTCTGTTCAATGTTTTTTAAGTCTGAGAGTTATAGCCCTTTATTGTTTCTGTTAACAGCTAGGTGGCACTATTGGTGATATAGAAGGCATGCCCTTTATAGAAGCCTTCCGACAGTTCTTTCAGTTTCGTGTGAAGAGAGAAGATTATTGCCTAGTCCACGTCAGTCTTGTTCCACAGGTAAGAATTATTTTAAAACTGAAGACTATTGGTTCAGACAGTATGTAACACAATGATTGACACAAAGTAATGCTGTAGAAGAAAGTGCTCAATACTACTCCCATTTAAGGTACATATTATTATGTTACATAGAAAATACCAGTTCGCTCTTTGTCTTTGTTGTTTGTGTGATTCAAAGATTGATGGATATTTATATTGTATTACCTGACATCCTCATAAAGTGAAAATTACACTGCCGTAATAATGACAGGTATACGGTGTTGTCTCCCATAACAATCCAAGTAGAGTATTCTTATCAAGGAACTTGATAACGTAGAATTATATAATATGCAATGGTTTGCAATAAATTACTTCCAACATTTCTGTTTGTCAATGAATTATGAGATTATGTTAATAGTGTTAGTCTGTAAATTAAAACATAGGAAATTTGGGTAAGATTGTACCTTGGTTATTAGAAAGATAAGTTAATGATACTTGTGTTTCTTGCACAGCCACAAGCTACAGGTGAACAGAAGTCCAAGCCAACACAGTCCAGCGTGAGGGAGCTTCGTGGTCTGGGGCTCAGTCCAGATCTGGTAAGGTTTCACCTTAGAAGAGTTGATGTACTTGGTAAAGGTAAACCCAGAAAATGTCATAACACAGTTGTGTACTTGGTAAAGGTAAACCCGGGAAATGTCATAACACACACAGTTGTGTACTTGGTAAAGGTAAACCCGGGAAATTTAATATCTAAATTAAAATATTAGTTATAAATCTAAATTGCTTTTGAAACAAAAGGTGCCTGTAAAATAGATAAAGATGATGGACTTTGTTATGTTTTAACAAAATGTATTTTGCATTTTTTTGTTCCTTTTCAAATGCTGGGCTACAATTCCATAGAGGAAACGCTATGTAGCATCATTTTTAGCTCACCTGGCACGAAGTGCCAAGTGAGCTTATGCCGTGGCGCGGCGTCCGTCGTCCGTCCGGCGTCAATATTTTACTTTAAACGACTTCTTCTTAATAACCGAAAGGCCTAGGGTGTCAATATTTGGCCAGAAGCAAACTTGGATGAAGGGCTACAAAGTTTGTTAAAATTAAAGACCTTCACCTATTTTCAAGGTCACAGGGGTCAAATATGTCAAAAACTTTAAACATCTTCTTCTCAATAACCAAAATGCCCAGGGAGATGATATTTGGCCAGTAGCATGCTTGGGTGGAGGGCTACCAAGTTTGTTCAAATGAATGACCTTCAATTATATTCAAGGTCACAGGGGTCAATTGTATTAAAAAACCTTTAAACAACTTCTTCTGAATAACTAAAATGCTCAGGGTGATGATATTTAGCCAGTAGCATGCTGGGATGAAGTGCTACAAAGTTTGTTCAATTAAATGACCTTCACCCATATTCAAGGTCACAGGGGTCAAATATGTTTAACAATTTAAACAACTTCTACTGAATAACCAAAATGCCCAGGGTGATGATATTTGGCCAGTAGCTAGCTGAGATGAAGGGCTACCAAGTTTGTTCAAATGAATGACCTTCAATTATATTCAAGGGCACAGGGGTCAATTGTATTAAAAAACCTTTAAACAACTTCTTCTGAATAACTAAAATGCTCAGGGTGATGATACTTAGCCAGTAGCATGCTGGGATGAAGTGCTACAAAGTTTGTTCAATTAAATGACCTTCTCCCATATTCAAGGTCACAGGGGTCAAATATGTTTAAAACTTTAAACAACTTCTTCTGAATAACCAAAATGCCCAGGGTGATGATATTTGGCCAGTAGCTAGCTGAGATGAAGGGCTACCAAGTTTGTTCAAATGAATGACCTTCAATTATATTCAAGGGCACAGGGGTCAATTGTATTAAAAAACCTTTAAACAACTTCTTCTGAATAACTAAAATGCTCAGGGTGATGATACTTAGCCAGTAGCATGCTGGGATGAAGTGCTACAAAGTTTGTTCAATTAAATGACCTTCTCCCATATTCAAGGTCACAGGGGTCAAATATGTTTAACAATTTAAACAACTTCTACTGAATAACCAAAATGCCCAGGGTGATGATATTTGGCCAGTAGCTAGCTGAGATGAAGGGCTACCAAGTTTGTTCAAATGAATGACCTTCAATTATATTCAAGGGCACAGGGGTCAATTGTATTAAAAAACCTTTAAACAACTTCTTCTGAATAACTAAAATGCTCAGGGTGATGATATTTGGCCAGTAGCATGCTGAGATGAAGGGCTACAAAGTTTGTTCAAATAAATGACCTTCATCTATATTCAAGGACACTGGTGTCAGATGTCTTTAAAATCTTCAAACAACTTCTTCTCAATAACCAAATGGCCCAGGGTACTGATATTGGGCCTGTAGCATGCTGGGATGAAGGACTATCAAGTTTGTTCAACTGAATGACCTTGACCAACTTTCAAGGTCACAGGGGTCAAAGGTCGTAAAATCTTCAAGCGACTTCTTTTCAATAAGCAAAAGGGCCAGGGTACTGAAATTTGGCCTGTAGCATGCTGGGATGAAGGACTACCATGTTAGTTCAAATGAATGACCTTGATCCACTTTCAACCTAATGTCCTTGTTCGACAATCAAGGTAAGAGGCGTCATATGTTTAAATCTTTTAATAGGTTCTTATGAAATCTTAAGATTACAAGTGTTAGATTAATAACAGGTGAGCGATGCAGGCCCATTGGGCCTCTTGTTTTCCAAAATTTGGAAATTTAAATTATAAATGTATTCTCTGTTTATAATCATGATTTCACATGTAATCATCGATAGGTAATGATATTGATTTATGAATAATAGATTATGTTGCTTTTCTTGAGATGTGCTAAATTTGTATGATTTCTTTCTGTTTCTATAGATCGTGTGCCGGTGTCAGAATCCAGTTGATGACTCTGTCAAGGCAAAGATTTCGTTGTTTTGCCATGTAGAACCTGGACAGGTATGACAGCCAAAATGTGTTTGTGGATTGGTCAGAGCAGTGGAGCATTTCTTTTTGCATTTTTTGGATTTTCGAACATAAGTTGTTTTCACTTCTACTAGTAAAGTGTCCACTCAAGATCAAAAGAAAGCATATTTTCAAAATAAAATTTGTAAAGTTCCTTATGATGGTATGTATATAAATGAGGGGCAAGAAAGTTATTCCAGCAGTGTAGACAATATAAGGTTGTCACATTTTCGGAGCAGATTTGTATCCTTCAATTTGGTTTGGTTTGTTTGTGTTTTACATCCTATTTATATTCTACTGTATATTTATTGAAATATAAGTAGGAACATAAATTAGTTAAGTTTTAATTTATATGTTATCATACATTTCAGGTGCTTTCTATACATGATGTATCATCCATTTATCGGGTTCCCTTACTGTTACAAGAGCAGGGTGTCTCCTTGTATCTGATTGATAGACTTAAGATGGCAAAGCTGTCCTCCCCACATGCTGGTAACATCATGTTCAAGTGGAGAGATCTGGCCGACAGGTATGATTTTACCTGTATATTATTCACTACATGTGAAGTGCTGAAAACCCTCAATGTAGAGCAGGACCAATATAAATGAGTCAATAGCACCATCAATACATGTCCATGCCCATAACATCGTGATGATATCACATTAAGGTTTCTTAATATAGATTCAATGTTTTATGTTTCTGGTTTTATTAGTTCACCTGGTCCAAAGGACCATGGTGAGTTTATGCCATACCGCATTGTCCGTCTGTCTGTCAACTTTTCCTATAAAATGCTACTAGTCCTGAACAGCCAAGTAGATTTTGACTAAATTTGGTCTGGTACATCCTTAGGCCAAGGTGACTCAATTTTGTATAAACGGTGGGTGTGGCCCCCATGGGACCAGAGGGGGCAAAAGGGCAGGACCCACTAGGGGAAATAGAGGTCAAACCTTTAATATCCTTCTTATACTATAGGGATTAAAGGATTTTCTTAGCTCACCTGGACGAAGGGGCAAGTGAGCTTATGCCATGGTGCAGCGTCCGGCCGTCAACTTGTCCTTTAAAATGCTACTTGTCCTGAATGGCTCAGTAGATTTGGACTAAACTTGGTCTGGAGCATCGTTAGGCCAAGAGGACTCAATTTTATATACATGTTGGGTGTGGCCCCCCTGGGGGCAGAGAGGTGTGGCCCAATAGGGAAAATAGAGGTAAAACCTTTAAAATCCTTCTTCTACTGTAGGAATAAAGAGATTTTATCCTTATTAGTCCTGTGCATTTTGTGACATAAAGTATTAAAAGGAAGTATAAATCATTTTGATAAAATTGATTAAAATGAAGAGTGCCAACTTTAATGCCTAATGAATCATGGTCATAAAAAGATCAGTTTTTTTTTGCAGAAGTTAATTCTTGGATCTGTTTCTCAATTATTATTTTTTTTAATTATTTAGTTCTTGAGGGAGTGAGAATGTGGGAGTGAGAATGTGGGAGTGAGAATGAGGGAGTGTCGGATATGTTAAAATCTTTTATACACCGCGCTGGTGTCGGATATGTTAAAATCTTTTATACACCGCGCTGGTGTTGGATATGTTAAAATCTTTTATACACCGCGCTGGTGTTGGATATGTAAAAATCTTTTATACACCGCTGGTGTCAGATATGCTAAAATCTTCAAACAACTCTTAATAACCAGAAGGCCAATGGTCATATTTGTCAAGCAACATGCCAGGGAGAATGGATATTTGTGTTGTTTGAATAAATGATCTTAACACGCTTTCAAGGGCACATGGATCAAATGTGTTAAAATCTAAATAACCAAAAGGCATAAGGTCATGATATTTGGCCATGATTATTTTCAATATCAAAGCCTAGAATTAGATTATCCTTACCAACATTAAATGTCACATGAGCACAGCATGTAAAATCTTACACCAAATACCCAAATAGCACAGAGTCATGACATTTATACTATGAAATCTTACACCAAATACCCATATGGCAGAGTAATGACATAATTATATACAATAAAATCTTACACCAAATACCCATATGGCACAGAGTCATGACATTTACACTATAAAATCTTATACCAAAGACCCATATGGCACAGAGTAATGACATTTATACTATAAATTCTTACACCAAAGACCCATATGGCACTGAGTCATGACATTTATACTATAAAATCTTATACCAAAGACCCATATGGCAGAGTAATGACATTTATACTATAAAATCTTATACCAAATACCCATATGGCAGAGTAATGACATTTATACTATAAAATCTTACACAAAAGACCCATATGGCACAGAGTAATGACATTTACACTATAAAATCTTGCACCAAATACCCATATGGCACAGAGTCATGACATTTACACTATAAAATCTTACACCAAATACCCATATGGCACAGAGTCATGACATTTACACCATAAAATCTTACACCAAATACCCATATGGCACAGAGTCATGACATTTACACCATAAAATCTTACACCAAATACCCATATGGCACAGAGTCATGACATTTACACCATAAAATCTTACACCAAATACCCATATGGCACAGAGTCATGACATTTACACCATAAAATCTTACACCAAATACCCATATGGCACAGAGTCATGACATTTACACCATAAAATCTTACACCAAATACCCATATGGCACAGAGTAATGACATTTACACCATAAAATCTTACACCAAATACCCATATGGCACAGAGTCATGACATTTACACTATAAAATCTTACACCAAACACCCATATGGCACAGAGAAATGACATTTATACTATAAAATCTTGCACCAAATACCCATATGGCAGAGTAATGACATTTATACTATAAAATCTTACACCAAATACCCATATGGCACAGAGCAATGACATTTATACTATAAAATCTTATACCAAAGACCCATATGGCAGAGTAATGACATTTATACAATGAAATCTTACACCAAATACCCATATGGCACAGAGTCATGACATTTACACTATAAAATCTTATACCAAATACCCATATGGCACAGAGTAATGACATTTACACTATAAAATCTTACACCAAAGACCCATATGGCACAGAGTCATGACATTTACACCATAAAATCTTACACTAAATACCCATATGGCACAGAGTAATGACATTTACACCATAAAATCTTACACCAAATACCCATATGGCACAGAGTAATGACATTTACACCATAAAATCTTATACCAAATACCCATATGGCACAGTCATGACATTTACACTATAAAATCTTACACCAAACATCCATATGGCAGAGCAATGACATTTATACTAAAAAATCTTACACCAAATACCCATATGGCACAGAGTAATGACATTTACACCATAAAATCTTACACCAAAGACCCATATGGCACAGAGTCATGACATTTGTTTTAATAAATTTGACCTTGACACTTTGAAAGTCAGAGATGTAATTTGTGAAAGCATTGATTAATATGTGACAATACATGCCTATTGTGCCTCTTGCTTCTTCAACAAAAAAGTTTATGAAGGTTCTCTTAGATTTCCAATTAGTTGTGTTTATTGTAAGGTTTCTCTTCAGACACATCCATTACTGAAGCCTGGTACTGTGTTAACAGGTATGACCGTATGCTGAAGGAGGTAACCATCGCCCTTGTTGGCAAGTACACACGACTAGAAGATGCCTATGCCTCAGTGATAAAGGCCCTTAAACATTCCTCTCTCTCTGTCAGCCACAGACTTAACCTCAGGGTGAGTATACAGACCTAACACAACTCAGTCCTTGGTCAGTCACACCCTTAACATGGAAAGTCGTAACAAAGGCATTCCTCTCTCTCTGTGAGCCACAGACTTAACCTCAGGGTGAGTATACAGACCTAACACTACTCAGTCCTTGGTCAGTCACACCCTTAACATGGAAAGTCGTAACAAGGGCCACGTACAGGGAGTAGAAAGGGTATTTCTGTAATGGGCCACCTACAGGGAGTAGGAAGGGGTCCTGTAATGGGCCACGTACAGGGAGTAGGAAGGGTATTTCTGTAATGGGCCACGTACAGGGAGTAGGAAGGGTATTTCTGTAATGGGCCACCTACAGGGAGTAGGAAGGGGTCCTGTAATGGGCCACGTACAGGGAGTAGGAAGGGTATTTCTGTAATGGGCCACGTACAGGGAGTAGGAAGGGTATTTCTGTAATGGGCCACGTACAGGGAGTAGGAAGGGGTCCTGTAATGGGCCACGTACAGGGAGTAGGAAGGGTATTTCTGTAATGGGCCACGTACAGGGAGTAGGAAGGGTATTTCTGTAATGGGCCACGTACAGGGAGTAGGAAGGGGTCCTGTAATGGGCCACGTACAGGGAGTAGGAAGGGTATTTCTGTAATGGGCCACGTACAGGGAGTAGGAAGGGTATTTCTGTAATGGGCCACCTACAGGGAGTAGGAAGGGGTCCTGTAATGGGCCACGTACAGGGAGTAGGAAGGGTATTTCTGTAATGGGCCACGTACAGGGAGTAGGAAGGGGTCCTGTAATGGGCCACGTACAGGGAGTAGGAAGGGTATTTCTGTAATGGGCCACGTACAGGGAGTAGGAAGGGGTCCTGTAATGGGCCACGTACAGGGAGTAGGAAGGGTATTTCTGTAATGGGCCACGTACAGGGAGTAGGAAGGGGTCCTGTAATGGGCCACGTACAGGGAGTAGGAAGGGTATTTCTGTAATGGGCCACGTACAGGGAGTAGGAAGGGTATTTCTGTAATGGGCCACCTACAGGGAGTAGGAAGGGGTCCTGTAATGGGCCACCTACAGGGAGTAGGAAGGGTATTTCTGTAATGGGCCACCTACAGGGAGTAGGAAGGGGTCCTGTAATGGGCCACGTACAGGGAGTAGGAAGGGTATTTCTGTAATGGGCCACCTACAGGGAGTAGGAAGGGGTCCTGTAATGGGCCACCTACAGGGAGTAGGAAAGGGTTCTGTAATGGGCCACCTACAGGGAGTAGGAAGGGGTCCTCCAAGATGTGGTACTCTTCATGTCGTAAATACTTCATGTCTGTGTTCACTAACAAGTTTTTTTGTACATTTGTGTCTTCTGGGAATAATCGCTCTACAAATGTCATTTCATATCTGATTTTCATAAAACATCCCACATATGTTAAAAAGAGATGACCTCTTATATTACATTGTGTTTCCACTATTTTTAGGTAAAAAAAGTCACTGTTACTAGAAAAGTAATTTTTGCAGTCATCACTTTACAGATTTCATTTCTCATCTTTTTGTCATGAGACTTAAATACATGTGTGAGTTCAAATTTCAATCTTTGTAAAATCTCTGATCACTTCCAATCGCTAAGGTATTACTATTGTCTGTCATTCCTTGTTCAGATTATAAATTTGTTTTTAATAAAATTTGATTTATTCATAAAAATTGGCTGGCTTTGTGGCTTTTCAAAGTGCAACTGATAAAGTTAATAAAAAAAAAAATACATTTTAAAGATATCATCATGTAAAGCTGGAACATTCCCCAACTTTCATGTTCCATACTTTTTTTATTAGTTTAAGTGGGATGTTATGATGTTTTACAGTACATAGAGGCTACCCACCTGGAGGCAGACATGCTGAAGGAAAGCCCATCTAAATACCATGAGGCCTGGCACCAACTAGTTAGCTCTGAGTATGAACACAATCAAGTACTAGCTATATAAAACTTTGTCTCACAAGGAGGTTGTTTTCTTGTGCAAACTTTTGATTTAATATTTCAAATCGGATCATTTATATCCTCTGCTTAATGAAATTGGTGGGGGATATACAAACATGTTCTTATTGTGTGTCTGTTCATCCAAGGAGAATGGTTTCTGAAGCAGAAGAGTGCCAAGGATATTGTTAAAGTTCTGCTTTTTCAGATAATTTATGAGTAGCAGAATATAAAAATAAAACAGAAAATGAATATACGTATCATGACTAAACAGTAGAGAACTAATACAATGTATTTGTTTATATATGACTTGTGACTAAACAGTAGAGAACTAGTACAATGTATTTGTTTATATATGACTTGTGACTAAACAGTAGAGAACTAGTACAATGTATTTGTTTATATATGAATTGTGACTAAACAGTAGAGAACTAGTACAATGTATTTGTTTATATATGACTTGTGACTAAACAGTAGAGAACTAGTACAATGTATTTGTTTATATATGAATTGTGACTAAACAGTAGAGAACTAGTACAATGTATTTGTATATATATGAATTGTGAGAATTTAGTTTTGTTATGCATGTATCAATAAGAGGTACTGTATTAACCATAATTAGCACTTAAAAGTTGGCTTAAATGATGTTAAGTGGCTAAAAGTGTACATTCATATATACACTGATTTATTAACCATCCTTTCTATTTTTAGTGGAATTCTAGTTCCGGGTGGATTTGGTGTACGAGGTACAGAGGGAAAGATACTAGCCACAAACTGGGCAAGAACTAAAAACGTTCCTTTCCTAGGTAAATAGAATTGATACTTGTATGCATTTGAAATATATTATTGACAGCAACTAGCCACCTCCTTTCTCATTTCGTCAACCTAAAATGAATGATTACTGTAATATTTGGATCAGGGCTATTTTCTTTAAACACATACCCTACCCCAGGACTTTGTATCCTAAGAAAGCCCACATCCAATATAAGTGGGGGGGTTGCAACACGTATTAAATATAGGATCTTACATGAGTTTCCATTTCATGAGATTTTATGAAACGGGTCTTAAGAATTTTTCAATTTAGCGAGCCTCTGGCCAGCTTAAATGAAAATTTGTGACGAGTTTCATAAATTTCATATGAAATGAAAACGAGTGTTAGATCCTTTTTATCACATAATCAGGATTTTGGCATTTATTCATGTAAAACGACAATTTTCATGCAACCTTGAAATGTAAAAAGCCGCCGTGATTTTGACTCCAGTGTGAAAGTCTGTGAGGTCATGTACTTGTCCTAGGCATGACGTCACAATTGAAACAATTGAAACTTACAACTAATCACAGGACCGATAGGTCATATTACATGGGTTAACATTCACTGGATAGCACAGTACATAATGTGATAATTTAATATATTGTGACAAAATATTTTCCTTTTAAATACAAACATAGAAGCAAATATAAATATTATTATGGATTTTCCAGAAAAAGATGATATTTATGAGGGCAGTTAGTATTGTGAACTTCCTGTAATTGTTTTCTCAAGGTGTGTGTCTAGGCTTGCAGTGTGCAGCCATAGAGTTTGCCCGCAGTGAGCTGGGATGGACTGATGCCCACTCTACTGAGCTTGACCCTCAGACCAAGCACCCTGTGGTAAGATCTCGGTTAAATAGGCTGTAAAATAATACCACATAATTTGTGTAGTTTTATGCTCCTGTGATTTTATGGAGGTACATATAACTTTATAGAAGAGTTACCCATGTTTGTCTGTCCCACCCTGATTCATTGTTACCTCTAGGGCATTTCAGAAAAAAAAACTTCTGGAAAGAACTAGACATGAAATACCTATGAGTATGCACATAATTACAGTTTTTGTCTCGCCGCCACGAAGTGGAAGCGAGACATAGGTGTTGCTTTTCCGTCGACAGCGGCGATGGCGGCGTCAACGTTAAGTTTTTGTGTTTAAGTTAGTTTCTCGTAAATTATAAGTGCTACACCAACCAAACTTGGACCAAGGATGCATCTTAGGTAGTACATCTCAGACCATGCATCAAATACTGGATGCGGCCTACCTTTCATGGTCCATTGACTTTGTCAGCATCTCCATCAACATTCAGTTTTTGCTTTTAACTTAGTTTCTCTGATATGTACATTGATGGTCAAAGCGGGGAATAGGCGAGACATATCAATCCGAATGGCTTGTATATACTGAAAGTGGTGTAAGTTTGTCAAATATGAAACATGTGTAGGGCTGCTAAATTTATCTTAAAATCAAAATGATGAGTTGGTGTATTGGAAGATAAAATTTAATATATATATATACATTTATACCAGTGTTAATATTTTCCCAGGTGATTGACATGCCTGAGCACAATACCGGACAGATGGGAGCCACAATGAGGCTGGGCAAGCGTAAAACACTCTTCAAGACAGAAAACTCGATCATAAGTAAGTTAGATCAGAATGTCAAGTACCATTCAACTTCAGTTAAGTTTATTGTGACAATTAATGTTCTATGACCTGTTTACTGTGTAGCGGGAAAAAATGGAATATAATGGAATTATTTATATGGCAAATTTAAATGACTTCTTAAGTTCCAGAAGGTTTAGGGTCACAATATTTAACTAGTAGGTAGCTGGGAGTGCTAACATAGATAACCTGGGCCTTAAATCAAGGACACAGGGAAAAATATGTTAAGGTCTTAAAATAGCATGATTTAAAAATAATTTCCTTTGATGTTCTAAAAGGCTGTTGGCTATGATAATTCATTAGTAGGTTGTGGGGACTGAAGGCCTTCAAAGGAATTCAAATCAGAGACTTTGAACTTCGTTCAAGGTTACAGGGGTCAAAAATGTTAAAATCTTCCAAGGACTTCTCAATTTCTAGAAGGTCTAGGTTCATGAATTTTGACTAGCAGGTAGCTGAAAAGGAAGATGATCAAATTACTTCAAATAAGAGACCTTGATTCACAAATTCACTGGAGTCAGATATTTTAAATGATTTCTCAAATTACAGGAGCCAGGGGTCATATTTTACCTGTAGGGAACTTATTGTTAAAATGGAGGGCTATTAAACTTTGTCAAATTGATAGCCTAGACCTTCATTTATGGTCACAGGGGTCAGATATGTTTAAAATATCTACATGACTTCTTTGTATGTTTGATATGGCCTAGGGTCATGATATTTTACCAGTGGGTAACTTGTACAGAGGGCTATAAAACTGAATACAAAAAAATACCTTGTCATTTAGTGTTACAGGGGTTCCATATGTTAAATTTCAAACAGGTTCCATTTAAGATATAAGGTATCTGAAATGTAGGGCTTTCAAAGTGTGACAGATAAAGTATTTTGTTTTTAATTTAATATTTATATATCAAGGAAGCATCCAAAGGATTCTAGGCATTCTGTTACACAATGATACAAAGTGCATGTTACACGTCATGTGGCAGATATCATTGTTCTGCTCATGCGGTACTACTGTTAGACTTGGATTTCTTTTTTTTCCAGAGAGACTATATGGGAATGTACAATTTGTGGAGGAAAGACACCGTCATCGGTATGAGGTAATTTTAACTAACGTATCCATCTGTTGTCTACCTTTTGTTTTGTGGCATTTTCAGGTTTTTTGTCTCGTCAACATTAAGTATAAGTGCTACACCAACCAAGCCTTGACCAAAGATGCATCTTAGGTAGCACATCTCAAACTGCATCAAATGCTGGATGCGGCATACTTCATGGTCAATTGACTTTGTCAGTATCTCCATCAACATGAAGTTTTTGCGTTTAAGTTAGTTTCTCTGAAAGTATAAGAACTAGATCAACCAAACTTGCACCATACATGCATCTGAGGTAGTACATCTCAACCCATGCATCAAATGCTGGATGCAGTATACTTTTTATGGTCCATTGACTTTGTCAGCATCTCCATCAACGTGAAGTTTTTGCGTTTAAGTTAGTTTCTCTGATATGTGTATTGATGGGGGTATAGGTGAGACATATCAGTTCGAATGGCTTGTTCTTTTTGAAGATGTTTGTGAAGCCAGTTTACCAGGTAAGTTAATTTTGTACCATTTTGGAAAAAGTGTGTCTCAGTTATTGATATAATTGAGATGGGTTTTTTCGACAGGTAAATCCAAAATACATTAAGGATTTTGAGGATCGAGGAATGAAGTTCGTAGGACGGAGTGAAGATGGACAGAGAATGGAGATATTAGAACTTGAAAGTAGGTATTTCTGCATAATCTCCCTTTTTCTTTTGTTCAGGTTTTATTAATATTCTATGCTGACAAAGTAATAAAATATATGGAACATTGTATAATGAGGAGACTTCAAATCTCTGGAAGACAAGAAACAGTAGTACTTGTTATGGAGTCTGCAGTAAATAGCTAACACAAGTCTACTTCCAAATCAGTAAATATTTTGGAAGATACTAAAGCAATCCATTAAGAAATATTTTGATGAGCAGTTTGTATTTTATCTTGTTTAAATACCACTTTATATATATATATATATATTTGTTCAGCTGAACTTTGGCATTATTAACCGAAGTAACAGTGTAGTGAGGGAGACATAGTGGAATAGATTAAGAAATAGCAGGTGCTTGGAAAATGTGGGTGGTAAGTGGAGGTCACAAATGATACAAGGGGCATTGTGTCATGGCATTATTGTGCAATGTAATATGATGGCAAGTTATTTAGAAAAAAACTGATCAGAAGCATGTGCTATCCAACTGAAAGTATTTAGGTTTTGTATTTACTCAACAAGTAACTAACTAACTAAGGTAATCACCGGTTTCACTTCTTGAAGATCACCGGTACTTTGTCGCTGTGCAGTACCATCCTGAGTACATATCCAGACCCATGAAGCCATCCCCTCCATACCTAGGTCTTCTGTTAGCGTCCTGTGGCAAGCTGTCGAGTTACGCAGCACGAGGCTACAGACTGTCACCCCATCTGTCGTACAGTGAGGGAAACAACTCTGAGGATGAGGAGATTGCCTCCATTGTGCAAAACCTTCAAGTGAGCTCTTCCTCTTCAAGCAGTAAATCTTCCTTGGAAAGTTCCCCCAAAGCACAGGCTGAAGGTGCAAATTAGGTAGGACTTTAAAAAAGTTTGGAGGATGTGATCTTGTGTCATACCACAGCAAACCTGCTGTGATTGACATTATTGTTCAAAGAATTCTCAGTCCTCAAATTGGTAATTGTTCAGACACGTTCCTATGATTTTAATTCATGATCTTGGTACTGTACAGTTGCTCATTTTTCATATGGGAATTATTTTGCATATTTATAAATGCATAAAAAGTCACACATTTAAGTACATGTAAATGGTTTGTATTTTTGAGAAGAAGAAATAAAAAACAGTTTGAGGTCGTTGTCAAATTGTTGATGTTCTCAATCATTCTGTATGAAATTGATAAATATCTAGGTAAGAGAAATATATAAGTAACAAAAAGAGATTTGTCAGAACAAGTATATTATTAATCAGCGTAAACTAAAACATGGTTTGTAATACAAATTTGCGACTTTTAATACACATGGAAGATTAGCAACTCAACAGTGGTCTTGGTTGAGCTGGTTGCAGAATCTTGTGAGAAGCAGTGAAGACAACCTTTACCAACAATTTTCTGTAAAGAGTGTTTATTATATTGCTTTGTATTTTCTTTTTTCTTGAGTTAATTTTTCAATTTCACATACGGGTTTGCCTCAAAAGTTTTGAGTTATTATATTCAACCAGAGAAAGAGGGTACTGTTTCAAACACATACTGTTACATGTGTTGTGTCATCAAATGTTATGTTTTGGTGTGTTGTTTTCCAGCTAAAGGTTACAAATTGTACATGTATGCCTATTCTAAATATGTACTGTACATTTAATTAATAAAGGCAAAATTTGGTGTTTCAAACTTTGGTGGCCATCAGGAAAAATTTCATCAAAATTGCAGCTCATCAATGTTGAACTTTGAACATCTTTGAGATCCTGTATATATATACTGCATAAGATTTTCTTCAAACTTGGTCACAGGGTTAAATGCCTTAAGGGCTCGGCCAAGTATGATGACCACTTTCAGCAGACTTTATTTGGAGAGTTATGGCCCCTTGAATAACCAAAAAAACGTCATTATCTGCTGTTTCTGTTCATTAACTTTTGCAAATATTATCTGATTGTCTTCAAACTTAGTAACAGGGTTCAGCACATTGAGGGCTCGGCCAAGTTTGACAACTCTAGCAAATATTAGATAAGGTTTTTTTTCTTCAAATTTCAAGCTATACATTATGTCTCAACAGCACAATACTCACATGTTTAAACCTAACCTCAATAATGTTTACCTACAATATGTCCTGAAAGCGGGGGATATAAATTCTACGAATTTGCTTGTTAGTTATACAATGTTTTCCTGATGATTAGACCTTGATTGTAGTTGAAATAGCCAGAAATTTGGCGCATAAATGTTTGATTCATACATGGAATCTTGGCATTGGGGAATTTGAAGAATGGAAGTTTGACTGTATTAAAAAAAAAAATGTTTAACTCACTGAACCTAAAGTGCCTGTGAGTTTTTGGTATGGGGCAGTGTGGGTTGTATGTAGTCTGTTGTTCACTATTCGTTAATTGTTTTGTTTAAATGACTTCTTGTTTAAAACCAAAAGCCTCCGAGTCATGATACCTAATCAGTTTGTACCAAAGAGATGCTTGATTAGTTGGTACTTACCGGTAGGATGGACCAAAGAGATACTTGATTAGTTGGTACTTACCGGTAGGATGGACCAAAGAGATGCTTGATTAGTTGGTACTTACCGGTAGGATGGAGCATTAGAAAGTTTTTTTCATATGAATAACCTTGAATTATGTTCATTTAAATTATTTTGACCTAATTTCAAGGTCATGGGGAGTCTTTGGTCCTTGATGCTGAACCAAAAATTGGGAAATAGTTGAAATAATGCTTTTGATGACACTATCTTTTAATGATTGCTTCAATATTCAATTTGGCTGTACAGGCCTTGAAGGCCATCCATTTGATCTTATTCATTGTGTATAGGTCAAAGTTTAACTTTGAGCACTGGCAGAGATTGATCAAAGGTTACACGAGATATAAAGGAATGAAATATTTAGGAATCTTACATAATATTTGGTCAGTAGTTACCTTTGAAGCTATGAAGTTTCCTCACATCAATGACCTTTACCTACTTTTAAGTTCACCGGGTCAAATTTGTTAAAAATTCAAACAACATTTTTTAAAGAATCATAAGTTCTTGGGCCATGATACAATAATGTATGATTGCCAATGTGACAATTGCATATTTATGCGCTATTGATGAGGCTACTTTATTTTGATTGATTTATTTCCATGCAATACCTATCCTTGAAAAGTTTATTATGCAGATCCTTTGTTCTAGTATGTACAACATACAACTTCTACTTTACATTGTCCTGAAAGCAGGGGATTTAAATTCTACAAATTTGCTTGTTGTATCTCATTTTTGTTTATATCAGTTTTGCTTGAGATTACATACTTGATTTTAAGAGATTCTTTGCTACCTACTGGATAGCCACATTACAGGCAGGCCCAAGACAAATGTCAGCAGTATTAAGTTGGTAGCGGGTAGTACCAAAACACTGAACAATAATGAGATTCCACTGCCTATTTACAAGTCTGTAATTCAAGCTTTTATTATACTATCATTTCATAGCATTACTTGTTTAATTATATGTGTGATTATATGTAGTATAACATTGAATGTACCATTTACAGTTTTGGCTTTATTTTTCATTGTTGAATACAAATATAAGCTCTAAAATTGATACTTACAAATACTTATATTTACATTTTATGTTAATCAACTTACAGTTCATGCAGAAATAAAGACATGATATTAGTCTGAACACGTTTCAACGTCAGGGTAAATCCCTACAGAGAACAGCCACCAGTTGACAGTGGAGCAGTGCAATCTCCAACGTTACAGTTATGACGTCATAAGCGTAGCGACGTCACAATAGCCCAATGTATGTTATAAGGAAATAACATACATTGGGCCCGGTAGAAACATCTAGGCTCTGTGCAGTGGAAATGTAAATATTTGTATAGAAGATGTATATGTACCTAGTTTAAATCTTCTCCCGACCAAGGTTCTGTTTATTCTGACCAATGCATTTGATTCACCTTTAGTGCCAGTTTTTGTTTTATAATTTGTGTAAGATCTCATTAGTATTCCTTTTTACTACTTGATTGTATTTACAATCTTCTACACATTTTTATTTACATGTCAAAGACGGTATTGTATTGTTTTCACCCGAGCCACACAGTCTCTACTCCATAGTCTGTGCAATCATTTCCTGGAAATTCATTCAGGTAAAACATCACAAAAGGTTAATTACTGTATCTTTTGTACTGTTATCTGACGGTAATTAATGGAGATTTGTCTCTTTAATTCATTACAGTACTACCAGTGCCTGCATTCTGTGATCTTGTATTGCTTGCCTCTTCTCATCTACCAGTTGTTAACAGATTTCTCCTGTAACATCAGTTACGTCCAAGTATACCAGATGTTCCTGTCCTATCCAAGTATACCAGATGTTCCTGTCCTATCCAAGTATACCAGATGTTCCTGTCCTATCCAAGTATACCAGATGTTCCTGTCCTATCCAAGTATACCAGATGTTCCTGTCCTATCCAAGTATACCAGATGTTCCTGTCCTATCCAAGTATACCAGATGTTCCTGTCCTATCCAAGTATACCAGATGTTCCTGTCCTATCCAAGTATACCAGATGTTCCTGTCCTATCCAAGTATACCAGATGTTCCTGTCCTATCCAAGTATACCAGATGTTCCTGTCCTATCCAAGTATACCAGATGTTCCTGTCCTATCCAAGTATACCAGATGTTCCTGTCCTATCCAAGTATACCAGATGTTCCTGTCCTATCCAAGTATACCAGATGTTCCTGTCCTATCCAAGTATACCAGATGTTCCTGTCCTATCCAAGTATACCAGATGTTCCTGTCCTATCCAAGTATACCAGATGTTCCTGTCCTATCCAAGTATACCAGATGTTCCTGTCCTATCCAAGTATACCAGATGTTCCTGTCCTATCCAAGTATACCAGATATTCCTGTCCTATAAGTAATTGCTCACTAAGACTTGGTGGGCATATTATGTATCACTTCGTGGTAATGTTATTTGTGTTTGCATGATTTATAATAGAATTAAACATTGAGTCACAACTACAAAAATATGTATTTAATTGCCTGTTGCGATTCACAGGGGCATTTTCACTGTTGCATTAAGACCAGATTATTTTTTTTCCACACATAATTATGACTGTTTTCTCATTTGCAAATAATTTGTGGGAGCTTGGAATTCCAGTACATGTTTTGTATTCAGACTTCGGACAATTGAAAAAAAATTGAATATGAAAACTGCATTTAACACTCTGTTAATACCATTTTATATTGTTTTTTTGTTTGTTTTTGTAATTGTTTATTTTTCGACGTTTTTTTTTCATAATTCATATAATCATGTTTATTTTATGTTTTTATAATACATTTAATCATATATAATTATGAAAAGCAACACACTCATACTCACACTTACAAAACATACATGCTAGCACGATATATCTTCATAATCTGCACATGCACAGGTCAGGTATACATCATACAACCATCATATTCTGTATATATAAGAAGCATACATGTAGTTCAAACTTCCAAGCCTACCATAGTACATGTATCACTGTTCACCAACACACACACACATCACAATGTGTACGTGATTATTTGGTCACCATCGTGCACTAATATATCTACATTGTCGACACTTATACATGTTACTGCACTGTATACATGTTCGATAATAGCCATTTAATTGTATAAACATACAGTCCATGATGTATTCCGACCAGTATATACATGAATATGTACAATATATATACACACATGCATACACAAAACCCTGCATTATTGTATTGCCTTTTACACTAGTATCAAGTCAGCTATCTATATATATCTACACTCATTTGTCTCATATCTAGCTGTATCTATTATTCATCTATTACACACACACACAACACACCATCACACACACAACACACCATAACAAACCCTCAGACACCTATCCATTACACACACTAACACACACACACACACACACCCACACACACCATCACACACACAACACACCAAAACAAACGCTCAGACACCTATCCATTACACACACTAACACACACACACACACACACCCACACACACACACACACACACCACCACACACACAACACACCATAACACACCCTCAGACACCCATCCATTACACAGGTTAACACACACACACACCCACACACACACACACACACACCATCAAACACACAACACACCATAACAAACCCTCAGACACCTATCCATTACACACACTAACACACACACACACACACACCCACACCCCCCCCCCCCCACACACCATCACACACACAACACACCATAACAAACTCTCAGAGACACCTATCCATTACACAGGTTAATACACACATCACCCTCTTACTTTAGAACCATACATAATAATATATTATCCGTTGTGTAAACCAAGTTGTCCAGGTTATCTTTAAATATTTGTTACCATTTATGAAGAGATTACCCATTTGCTATTTGTATGTGATATTGTATTTGCTAACACTTCCCAACAAAGAGGGGCATTAGGAATTTAGACGTTTAATTGGTGTGCCATATAGTCTTTGTATATATGCCATTAAGTGTAAGTGCTATTAGCTTTATAGTGTAGAATAAATAGCTTTATGACATTTTAACCACTGAAATCCTCTATTTGATGGAAGCTCATATGTTCGCTGCATTGAAGATTCATTTTGTATATATGAAATGTTATATCTTCACTGATGATATGGCCTTGGTATCAATTTTATATTGAATAATCAAAACCAATAAAAAAGAAATGGAGGTTATTTAATAGTTACCATAGAAAACCATACTCCATGGGTATGGCAGAATATTTTGCACTTAGGTTTAATACAATCTGCTACCACAAGCCCTCCACCACGGGTTTGAGACCTTCATGGGGCAGTCACCAGGTACTGGCCGTGGTTTTTCTCAGGGTACTCTGGCTATCCTCTGCCACAAAAACCTGGCATGTCCTTAAAAATCAAACGAGCTCATATGTTAAATACAAGAAATAATAATCTGCTATACCCGTGAAATATGTATGGTATTCATTGGAAACCATTAAATATCCTCTAATTCTGCCTTGTCTGCTATTCATATGGTAATGGCCAAGATCCTGATTTGGAGAAATGTCACCTATAGTTCAGCATTAAATAGGCTTATGTTAATAATGCATTTATGTGATAAGGTGTTACTGAGTATTATAAAGTTAAATACTATGGAGGAATTATCTTGAGAAAGAAATAGTACATATTGGCATATATATATGCAATATTGTAATGCGTATTATATGTGCATTTACTATTTTTCTTATTCAATACCACCACTCATGACTGGTCACTGTATGATATTTGTTTGAAAGAATGATTGTAAAATATGTCTGTATATAATTTGTGATACCTTATAACAAGGATATGTCTGTATGCCTCAACATTCATCAATAAATCTTGATTGATTTAATGTATAAATTTGTATTTTGTGGTTACTAGGGAGCTATATCACCATCCAGTTTTCATTTCCTCACGATAACTTGTATGAAGTTGATGAAATTCATGCTACACAAAAAAAATTCAAAGGAACTAAGTAAAAGGCAATAGTTAATTCAGACTGAGTCTGACCTAGATCTGATGGGCGTTTTACATGGAAGGATTTATTACTGGGAGAAGTACATTCACGGTGACATGATCCATTATAGATTGGTGAGTGTGCCAGATCTTCCTCTTCCCGGAGTTGAGTTTTAACGATTTTAGAGAAACATTAAGAGGTGGTAGTTGTCAGTAATATCAGTATTTCCATGCCTATACAACAGTAACAATCGTAACATAAAACACACACTGTACGCAGTGGATCTAGTTGAGTGGGTGCAAGGCCCTCTTTTGTCTGGGATATTCTCTTTTCACATTCAAAATATATTTTCCCATTTTTGGGGTAGGAGTACATAGAAGTACATAGTATAGTAGAAGTAGTTGGTTAAGCAGTACATGTATCATTAATGGTCATGGAAGTTGTAGTACATAGTATAGTGGTAGTAGTAGGTTAAGCAGTACATGAATCATTAATGGTCATGGAAGTTGTAGTACATAGGATAGTGGTAGTAGTAGTACATGTATCATTAATGGTCATAAAGTTGTAGTACATAGTATAGTAGTAGTAGTAGGTTAAGCAGTACATGTATCAATTAATGGTCATGGAAGTTGTAGTACATAGTATAGAGAAGTACATAGTATAGTAGAAGTAGTTGGTTAAGCAGTACATGTATCATTAATGGTCGTGGAAGTTGTAGTACATAGTATAGTGGTAGTAGTAGGTTAAGCGGTGCATGTATCATTAACCGTCATGGAAGTTGTAGTACATAGTATAGTGGTAATGGTCATGGAAGTTGTAGTACATAGTATAGAGAAGTACATAGTATAGTAGAAGTAGTTGGTTAAGCAGTACATGTATCATTAATGGTCGTGGAAGTTGTAGTACATAGTATAGTGGTAGTAGTAGTACATGTATCATTAATGGTCATAAAGTTGTAGTACATAGTATAGTGGTAGTAGTAGTACATGTACCATTAATGGTCATAAAGTTGTAGTACATAGTATAGTGGTAGTAGTAGGTTAAGCGGTGCATGTATCATTAACCGTCATGGAAGTTGTAGTACATAGTATAGTGGTAATGGTCATGGAAGTTGTAGTACATAGTATAGGGGTAGTAGTAGGTTAAGCAGTACATGTATCATTAATGGTAATGGAAGTTGTAGTACATAGTATAGTGGTAGTAGTAGTACATGTACCATTAATGGTCATAAAGTTGTAGTACATAGTATAGTGGTAGTAGTAGGTTAAGTAGTAGATGTATCATTAATGGTCATGGAAGTTGTAGTACATAGTGTACATAGTATAGTGGTAGTAGTAGGTTAAGCAGTGCATGTATCATTAATGGTCATGGACGTTGTAGTACATAGTATAGTGGTAGTAGTAGGTTAAGTAGTAGATGTATCATTAATGGTCATGGAAGTTGTAGTACATAGTGTACATAGTATAGTGGTAGTAGTAGGTTAAGCAGTACATGTATCATCAATGGTCATGGAAGTTGTAGTACATAGGATAGTGGTAGTAGTAGTACATGTATCATTAATGCTCATGGAAGTTGTACTACATAGTATAGTGGTAGTAGTAGTAGGTTAAGCAGTGCATGTATCATTAATGGTCATGGACGTTGTAGTACATAGTATAGTGGTAGTAGTAGGTTAAGTAGTACATGTATCATTAAAGGTCATGGAAGTTGTAGTACATAGTATAGTGGTAATGGTCATGGAAGTTGTAGTACATAGTATAGAGAAGTACATAGTATAGTAGAAGTAGTTGGTTAAGCAGTACATGTATCATTAATGGTCGTGGAAGTTGTAGTACATAGTATAGTGGTAGTAGTAGGTTAAGTAGTAGATGTATCATTAATGGTCATGGAAGTTGTAGTACATAGTGTACATAGTATAGTGGTAGTAGTAGGTTAAGCAGGACATGTATCATTAATGGTCATGGAAGTTGTAGAACATAGTATAGTGGTAGTAGTAGGTTAAGCAGTACATGTATCATTAATGGTAATGGAAGTTGTAGTACATAGTATAGTGGTAGTAGTAGGTTAAGCCGTACATGTATCATTAATGGTCATGGAAGTTGTAGAACATAGTATAGTGGTAGTAGTAGGTTAAGCAGTACATATATCATCAATGGTCATGGAAGTTGTAGTACATAGTATAGTGGGAGTAGTAGGTTAAGCAGTACATGTATCATTAATGGTAATGGAAGTTGTAGTACATAGTATAATGGTAGTAGTAGAACATGTATCATTAATGGTCATGGAAGTTGTAGTACATAGTATAGTAGTAGTAGTAGTAGGTTAAGTAGTACATGTATCATTAATGGTCATGGAAATTGTAGTACATAGTATAGTGGTAGTATTAGGTTAAGTAGTACATGTATCATTAATGGGCATGGAAGTTGTAGTACATAGGATAGTGGTAGTAGTAGGTTAAGCAGGACATGTATCATCAATGGTCATGGAAGTTGTAGTTCATAGTATAGTGGTAGTAGTAGTTTAAGCAGTACATGTATCATTCATGGTCATGGAAGTTGTAGTGGTAGTAGTACGTTAAGCAGTACATGTATTATCAATGGTCATGGAAGTTGTAGTATATAGTATAGTGGTAGTAGTAGGGTAAGCAGTACATGTATCATTAATTGTCATGGAAGTTGTAGTGGTAGTAGTAGGTTAAGGAGTACATGTATCATTAATGGTCATGGAAATTGTAGTACATAGTATAGTGGAAGTAGTAGGTTAAGCAGTACATGAATTATTAATGGTCATGGAAGTTGTAGACCATAGTATAGTGGTAGTAGTAGCTTAAGCAGTACATGTATCATCAATGGTAATGGAAGTTGTAGTACATAGTATAGTAGTAGTAGTAGTAGAGTAGGTTAAGTAGTACATGTATCATTAATGGGCATGGAAGTTGTAGTACATAGAATAGTGGTAGTAGTAGGTTAAGCAGGGCATGTATCATTAATGGCCATGGAAGTTGTAGTACATAGGATAGTGGTAGTAGTAGGTTAACCAGTACATGTATCATTAATGGTCATAAAGTTGTAGTACATAGTATAGTGGTAGTAGGAGGTTAAGCAGTACATGTATCATTAATGGTCATGGAAGTTGTAGTGGTAGTAGTAGGTTAAGCAGTACATGTATTATTAATGGTCATGGAAGTTGTAGTACATAGTATAGTGGTAGTAGTAGTAGGTTAAGCAGTACATAGTAATACTAATAATGCTTTATTTATAGAAGGTCGCTCAATTAGTTACAAAACTATTCTCCCTTGAGGCCTTCTCTACAATCTACGGCAATAATATATACAGAGTAATAGCATTATATATGAATTTCAATTCAGATATAATAATTCAATTCTAGAATAATTACAG